CACCGGCGGGTCTTTGGGCGAGAACGGTTTACCCACTTTTGGGGGCAGTGTGTTCGATGAAGCTCTCATCACGGGCACGAAGTGCGGGTCATGCAGGAGCAGCTCCAGCTTTACGATGGTCACATGGGCAGCCTGGGCATTACGCTGGCAGATAATCTGCAGGGGGGCAAGAACAGAACAGGTTACATACTGATAGGACGGTCCCCAACTGGTAACTCACTTCCCTGGGCTCCTTGCCCTCGTGATTCTTAAGCGACTTGCACTCCGGATATGTGATGAGCACCTCGACCATGGCCACATGGCCGTTCTTCGCGGCGAAGTGGAGCGGCGTCTCGCCACGGGCTTTGTCCGGCATGTTTAGGTAGTAGTCCAGCAGACTCTTGTTGAGGTCCGAGCACATCTTGCCGCTGCCCTTCTTGCCCACATACAGCTGGGCAAACTCCCGATCCGAAATGGTCTTCAGCAGCAACTGGGCGATCCTGGCCTTGTTGACCTGGGCACAGATGTGCATGGCATTATAGCGACAGCCCTCCTTCAAGCTGGTCGGCTTATCGCCGCTGCTGATCAGGAACCGAGGGTTCTCCCATATGATCCGCTTGACCCGTTCGATGTGGCCACCCTCGATTTGCTTGCGAAACTCCACCAGTTCCTGTTTGGTTGGCGCCCGGAACGGAGGACGTTCTCCGAACAAATCCTGCTGCTGCTGCTGTTGCTGCTGAGGCTGATGATGTTGCTGCAGTTGTTGTTGCTGGCGGCCATTGGCAATGATGTGGCTAAGGCTGCTCGGCGAGGAAGTGGGCGAGCTGCTGAGCAGTAGGCTGGACATCGAGGGACTGCTCCCGCCGCCCGCTCCCGTCGGCGAGGAGGAGCACGAACTGTCCGTGGAGCCCGACAAGCTCCTGTAGCCGTTGCCGCCGCTCAGCGGAATGGGTTCTAAAATAAAAGGGGTATGAGAATTAAATAGCTCTATATCACAGATGTGTGTGTACCCACTGCTTTCGGACTTGGCCTTGCCAAATCTCTTGAGCGCCTCGATGCTCTCGAACCCGAACTGGACGTAGCTCTCCGCCTGCTCCTGATTGGGGAACTCGCGCAGGCGGGCCTCCTTGTAGTGCCGCAGGACGTCCAGCGCCTTGGATTTATCTGTGAAGACCAGCCACAGTGGCGAGTCCGCTGCTCCGTGATGACCGTGGTGGTGATGATGTGTGGGCATCGAGAGGAATAGACCATTAATAAATGAGCTGGCTCAGTCGGTCGGTCACGCCATCGGTTTGGCGAATGGCGAATGGCGAATGGTGAATACTGAACGAGTGGCGGAATGCCGAGGATTGTTCGGAGCAAAACAAAATCAAAACAAATAGGAGGGGGCGTTGGGTGGCGTGGTTCATGCGTGTGACGCAGTTGTTGGCACAACGCCGGCCAATTTTACGAGGCCCTGCCTTATCGGGAGTATCACCAGTTTTGGTCTCAAATCGTCACAGATTTCAAAGATATGTACGTATTTACTGGGTCACAAATTTGGCAACGAACAAGAACGGAACTATTTCAAATTAAATGAATTTTTAGAGTAAAATAATTTGACCCACATAATGATACTTAAGTCCTAGCACACTTTTATAAGAATTTAACGATTATAATATTTATGATGAAGTATCACAAAACAATGTACAAGTCCGCAGATACTCTTTATAACAATTTAATTGTTAAAAATTTAACCTTTACTATTTACTTATATATTTTACATTTTATTGTGTTTGCAGCACTCTAGAAATCTAGTAAGACACTTTCAAAACCAATGATCACTTGTGGCTAACTAGCACATTTCAATTTCACTTGTTGAATTTATAAAAAACAAAAGCGGATATAAATATATTTAGATCGCAGCTGTGGCGTACAAACATTTCATATACTTTTCTCAACATTACCCCTCGAAATTAGCGGGTATGCCATAATTAAATTTACTTTCAACTCTTCGCAATGTGCGAGCAAAACAAAAACAGAAATAAAACTAGAAGCGAAAACATCATCGCCTTGGGGATATAGTTCTAATCAAAGATCTGATAAAAGCTAAACATATAGCATGTGGAACTAAGAACAGTGATTGTACCTATGAAAGTTCAAATCGTAAAACATTTTCTTTTTGATTAATTTGACACTAATTAGTTAGTTGAATGTAGGCGTTTTTTATTTTTTGGGGCAAAGAGAGATTACTTTTGTATTTGTTTCAAAGACCTATATGTAGGTGTTCTGGCTATGAATAAGTTTTGAGTACATTTTGAGTACCATGTCTTGTAACTTTTTTACTTTAAGGTAGAATGTTAATTTATCAAGTTATTGTTCGTGTAAACAACCTTGTTTAATATTTTCATAGTCTTAAATAGGTGTATCCCAAAAATATATATTTTTTAATTTCTCTCATGTAGGGTATCTTATTACTCGACTTGAATTGATTTTACAGTTCTTAGCTCTCTTTTTTGTTTCTGGGCAACGACTGTTGACTTGGGCCAAATGACAGGGACAAGGGACAAAAGACAAGTGAAAGGGACTGGGGCCAGAAACAGGGACAGACACTACCCACAATAACACCAGCCGGCAAAGCTGGGGGTATATAAATATTGAATCCGGGGACGCTAAAAGTACGCGCACACACTTTTTCGGGTTTCTTGCTCTGCAGCTTGCAGTATAAATAACACTTGAGATACTGACTGATATACAGATACATCCGTTTTGGGAGTTTAAAATTGTTTCAGCTTTTCCTTAAAGGTTTTAATAAATAAATCAGGACTTTGCAAAAGGGAAACCGATTTTTAAATAATTAAAAACATTTCCAATATTTATTATTTATATTTATTATAAGGAAAACCCTATTATTTTGACCACGGCTGTGCGACTGCTGGAAGAAGAACGATGGGAAGGGAGGGGAGAGAGTGCTGACAGGTCAAGGTCCTAGTAATGCATCCATTTTGGGCATTGCCTGGAATGGGTATTGGACGTGGAATGAACTCGCCCCAATCGGTTATTGTTTTCGAAGCGCATTTAATTGGATTAAAGTGGGAAAGAGATGGCGGGGAGTGAACGAGAGCGAAACAGTTGCATCTAATTAAGCAGGTAATTGCAATCGTTCACCATTTGTTTATAATTAAATCGAAAGACCGCTCCCAGACAAGGAAATCGACTGTGCGAGCGAGATGGCTGCGCAAGCCCCGATTATTTTGTTTTATATTTCTCGATTCTCAGAAGTTTTGAACACACACATGGAAACTTCTTCATGGGCAGTTAGTCATGGCGCGGAATAACAGCGAAATTAATAAAAAGAGTAGAACTCCCGAAGTGGGAACACCCTGGAGATCTATTCTCTATACATCTGTACACGAAATTCAATTTAATATACTGTTGTAATATATTACACTGTTTGTTACCGATTAAAAATCCCATTTATATTGAAAATGGATAAACAAAACAAATACACTAAAATGCACAAGAATATTCGTGTTTAATGGAAAGAAATCCACTCCCCTAAAGAAACATGAAAAATTGCAATAAACCCCTAAAATCATGTGGAAGGGGTGTTTAAAACTCAACTTGAAGAATTTCAAAACAAAAACAAGCACGACGCAGTTTTGATCATGAATGTACTTCTACAGAAAAAGGGGTTAATTTCCATTATGAAATAGCCTGTAGTTTTCAACTCCTTCAGAAAACAGCTGTTGAATTGTACAAAATCAATACCCAATAACATAACTGAATTTGTTGATAGTATGACAATGAAACGTATTCAATCGATAGAGATAAGACTTGAAAGCCTTCCCAAAGTTCCCAGAATACAGAAAGAGGTTCCAACCATGAACTAACCTACGAAACGCTCACGCCCACCGATTACAGGGTATCACAACAGCAACAAGCGGCAAATAACTGGAACGCCACACATACACACACTCACTCCGTCTCGCTCCTACTTACGTGGAAAGTCGGGATCCTCGTACTTAACGGCATCCTCCGGGTTAACCGATTGGGAGGACATTCCCGAACCGGGTGGCGATCCGGATCCAGATCCCGATGAAGATGCCGGAGTGGTCGGCTTTATGTTCACCGCCGCAATGGAACCCGCACAGTGGGATGCCAGGCCCTCAATCAGTCCCGTCGTCGGGATATAGACCCCGAAATAGGTCGCCATCTCTGCGAAAAATGGCGGATGCCATGCAAAGAAAACGGTAAAACAATGGTAATATCACGAAATTCCAGGCGACGCACTGCTGCTTCGCCACTTTTGCCACAGAGACGCAAAACCACACACAACAACAAAAAATTCCTACCCCCGCACTTCAACGGCAAACCGACGCAAACAATGTAGCCAGGTTGGTCAAACTTCACGATTCACCGAGCTCACAGAACTTGATAAAAACACACATCTCCTTGGTCTTACCTCTTAATTTCTTAATTCATGGAAACAAATGCGTTCACGTTCACGTTCTCGATTCGATCGCCGTCGAGATCGTCCGCTTCGAAAAACTTCCGCTTTCTCGGAACTGATTTGGACTACGTAAATTTACGTACGTAAGTACGTAAGTGTCGGAAAAACGTGAGCCAACGTAAGTGACACTAAAAAAGCGAGATATCCTCAGCGTAAGTGTCAGTAAAACGAGATGCAAGACGGAGAATGGAAACAAATGCACAAACAAAAAAATGTGCACAACAGTGCGACCGCCCTGCTAACAATGGAAATACCAAGCAACCATTAAATAAATACCAGAAAATACCATTGCAGTAATGGTCAGTTAGAAAATTAATTTTCTGTGTTTTTATGTATTACAAAATGTAATTAACTAATTAATTAATAAAAAGCAACTCATTTTTAACCTGTTTGTAAGCAACTACGATTTAAAAACGAAAAAAAGTAAAACCTATATTTGCTGGTTCGAGTCCCGGATAGACATTTCCAAGTGGTATTTTTTTGGTATATTTTTTGTGAGTCCCCCACTTTGTTGGGGGCATTTTTCTGACATATTTGAACGGCCCGCCGACGGTTAAACATAACGTTCGTGAATTTCGACTCGAAAAGCGGGTTTCTCGTGCGCGCTCTTCTTTTTTTTAACGTGTTTGTGTTGTGTGTGTTTGGCGTGCGGCTAACTTTGTTGTCGTTCTTCTGGTGTTGTTGTTGCCTTTGGTAACAACGTGCGACGCGCGCCTTAATAAACAAAAAGAATAATACGTTAATCACAAGGAATTTATTTGGAAACCAAATGCATAACTAAATTCTAAAAGGTTTGCTTAAAACTTACTTACATTCTTTAGTTAACTAGCTGGATTTATTTTGTTTCTATTTGTTTTTTTTTTGGTAGTTCAGGGATACACATACACAGCAAGGGTGTGTTTTCCTGCGTGTGGGTGTGCTTTGTGCTTGTGTGTGTGTGTGTGTTTTGAACCTGTCTCTTTTCTTGGCTAAAAATCAATAAAATAAAGCAAAAGTCGACAACAAACAAACGCTGCAGGTCCTTTTGTATCCGTGTGAGTGCTTGTGCATATGTGTGGGCTCTTTGGAAAACAGTTAAACAATTCACTTTTCTCTCAGTGAGCAGCTGCAATAACTAAGTAAATAAAAGACCGTTAAACGAGGCTCACTTAGTTAGTCGAGCATGGCCAAAAAGCCAAAAGCCCGAGTTGCCAATTGCCAATTAGAAGCCCAAAACAAACGAAAATACAGTGAGGCACGGCTAACGGTAATTAGGCGATTACCCCCCTGTAAATTGCACCTGTATTAACCGTTCGTTTTACAAACATTTCCTGTTTCAAGTGGCCAAGTTAATAGCCGTTTTTAGGTACCTAATTGTATTCGATTTTTTGAATTTGCCCCATAACTACTAATCCTAAATTGATTACCTCTGATCAGATTCGGTTTTAATTAGTAACTTAGTAATTAGTAAGTTATTTCTTGATTTTAACAAACATGTTTGGTTAACATATCCTGTAAAATTTGTATAACTTAATTAACTATTTAGAGTTTTTTTCTCATGTTTAACTAATAGCGAAACATTTAGTTAACAATGAGGTCATATTTCTAATCTATTACTCATAAGGACTATCAGCTTATAAAAAAAACGATTTCGAAAACCCTCAATAATTGTACATTTACATTCCAAAAACTGTCGCTTTTGTAACCTTTTTGATATTATTGGGGGATTTAGTAAATAAATAAAATAGATTACAAAGTAGACCTGAATCTCGAGTTCCGGAAATATCTGAGGTTCTTCGATGCCTTTTCACCCTTCAATGAAATACCCAGTATGACTAATAGCACTACTGTTTACGCTTGGTAGCCCTTAAATGGGACAAAAAATGGGTGTTATACCCATTATTAATTAAAATTAACAACAATATTTTAACACCCAAAAATAAAGGTTTGCTATACTTCTTTTTTCTTTTCATTGATCACCTAATACTATCTTTTAACCGCTGGATAGCCAACTGTAGTTGGCTGCACTTTGGTGTTAAGTGATCTATGATAAAGCGAGTTAACCCCATAGAAAAAGCCTCGAAACAGTAATCGCAAGACCCCATATTAATAGTATTGGCGATTTTATCTCTCCGCTCGCCGTTTGGTATTATTTTCTTTACAGTTAGCGAGCAGCTTACTGTTTTCATACTTTTTAATGCCTTTCTTAACTGGATTGGCAATTGCTGGCTGTATATTAAATCATTTACACTTTGCCAGCTGCCATGCACTGATTCTGATTCCCCCTTTGTCTTTTGTTGCCTCTTTCTTTTTGTCTACTTGAACATACGTACATACCTACATTTATAAATAGTATTTTGTATTTTTATCAGTTCTGGCTTTATCTAATCGAAGGAGGATTCCTATAGGACGGATGACTCACGTCGGCATACAATATTGTTGCCTTTTTCACATTTATATATCAAGTGCAGTTCGGCTCTGGCTGTCAAGTCCAAGTGCAGCCTCAATTGGCTGATTAACATTTTTGTTGTTTCGCTGGACTCTAGTGCCTACCTGCCTATATCTACGCCCCTCTCTTGCCACACCGCCCAAAGCCTCTATTTCACCCCGCTTGTCTACAGAACTTTAAGTCGTTAAACCAGTTTATGACTGGCCGGGCATAGAGGCCATACGTTAAGTAAGTAGAATCAACAGACTCTGAATCAGCTGCGGATCTTACGGCCACAGCTACTGTGGCTGAGTTGATTACCTGTAAACGCGAGAGCAGAGGTGTATTGGCCAGAAGAAGAGAGTGTGTTATTATACAAAAGTATAACCCCTTAATACCTCAGGATCTGTTCGAGCTAGAGATATGAAATTTGGTATGCAATTTTGCGTTTGTGTAAGGATTCATACATTTTCGAAATCGCTTGATTCAGGATCACCTTCAGGCATCAACATGAACACATTTTAGCGTGCCACATTATATTTATTTTAAGTGTTTCCTGACTGCTTAATCTTTAACAACAATGTATTAAGAGCTTACATATTTGCGGCTTTATAGGCAATTTTAAAGAATTAAATATCAAGGGGTATCTTTTAGTTTTAAAGCTGAAACGAAGCGTTCTTAATAGCATTTTCTTTGTTACGGTGGGGGCCTGGGAAAGAGCGGAAGAGAAAGGGGTGAAAAACAGTGGGGAGTATTAACTTTTATGGTTGGGGGAAGCGTGCCAGTGGCTGCAACTTCCTCATATGTACGTTAACTGAGCGGCGGCCATAATCGTTTTTTACAAAACTAATTTAAATTAAATATTCAAGGCGGGATAGAGTGCGTTATTTTGGTAATTGAAATCATGGAACCTGGTTGTCGCCCTTTTTGCCAGATGTCTTACCCCTTGGTTCTAGGCCCTGAAAAATCATATTCAAATTTGGGCCAATGCCAGATCGGAGGAAATTTAGTTAACTGAAATAATTGACCAGAAACAAGGAACATAACGATGATTAAACATTGAGTGATCAATGAGGCAAGTGAATTGCCGGCGGCGAGGATGGAAGCTTCACTTTGAGTCTCGAATTTCAAGTCTTCAACAGCTGCGCCCCATATTTACCTCTCTTGGGCCTGAGTTTTTTTTTGTATTGTTTGCCTAGTGGTTTATTTGAACGCTGGTTAGTTTCACACTTCCTTGTTGGCTCGACTTTGAACTTGGCATCTTCTTGAAGATCGTGGGCCTTTTGACCTTCCCGGTTCTCTAGGATCGATCCAAGGTCGCCTGTTCACCCGATGACCCAAAAATACCGCCGCACAATGGTCGACTTCCACGCAACAAAACATATCTCATCGCATCAAAGTGGAAAAATGAAGAGAAATAATGTAAACAACTTAAATATTCAACGGATTGCAAATGCAGCCACAATGGTGATAGTTTAGTTTATTGAACGCACAATAGGCTGAATGGAGCATGAACAAATGTTTAGCCAATTCGGAAATTGTGTCAGCAATAACATCATTCAAATTCACGTGCCAAATGGCCCGGAATCAATACGTAATATTGCCCATTATCGGATATAATATAATAAGATAATAATATAACTCATAGGATCAAATTACTTACCATAAGGGGAATACAAAGTGTCCACTGAGAACTAAATAATTAGATAAACCTTATTTCATAAATTATAATAGAACTTAAAGGTAACTGTTTTGGTATAGCGGATCGCCAAGATACATGTATCTACCACAGCTTGGCCCTTTTGGCCAAATTGCTTTCGACCCTTTTTGTGGGAAGACAATGTCAATGACGACTTTTTTCTGGTTTTCGACCAACGATGACGGAGCCGATCGCAAATGACTCGTCTTTCGGATGCCAAAAAATTTATGAACATCATTATGGGAACGTCGGTGCCTTGAGATTCAGATTCAGATTTAGATGCAGATGCAGATGCAAATGCCGTTGCAGTTGCAGTTAAACAATTTCATTGTCGTTGGTGCATTCATATATTTTTGCATTTTTTATTGGATTTTATTCATTTACGCTTTTTGCCGCCTTTTGTGGTTGTAGACAACAATGGGATTTGGGTGTCTTCACCGAGGGCCCTCCGATATCGATTGTGCCGCATAAATTACACGCTTTGTCACCTCGATTCGATTACAAATTTATGCAAATCGCGCTTTAATTTATTTAACAGCCACGATCCATCGATGATGGCAATTCAAGTGCGAAACAAGTGGGTGGGTATATAATACTAGAGCTATACTATATGGTCAATACTATTTAACTGTGATGTCACCGCCGCCGCATTCCGGGGCAATACAGTGGAGCACCGTTTTGGGTTACAAAAGCCGATCGAAAGCACCGTTCACATGCAAAAATGCAACAATAAATAAAGAGAGGAAAATAATGCACAGTGCGAAATAAAGTTCACTTTGCGAATGCCAATAAATGTAACAATTTCAACAGTTTGAATGGTTTTGGAGCACTTTAATGGCACTTTAGCAGAACATATGTAGATTTATGTAATTATAGATAAATATATATTATTTTAGTATATAAGAGATATAGAGATATGAAATTTGGGATGCAAGTTTGCGTTTGTGTAAGGACTATATATATATATAGGATAAATATATTTTTATATAAATTATTTATAAATGAAGTTGGAAAAAAAATTTAGGTCATGAAAATATAAAATTTATATTTATTTGATTAATGAAAATATCAAACTTTATTAGAAACAACATTATTTTACAGCAAAGTGTATTTTGTAGTTTTCAAAAACGTAAAAAATTCACCTTCAGTGAATGTAGTTGCCCTAAAACTTTTTCTTCCTGTGCAGCTGAAATAATTAGCTCACATACGTTTTCCACTCTAAGCATTTAATGAGGCCTCTAAGCTATTGTCTGGCCCCTGTACATCCCATGGGCCCCGCCAGCCCCGCAAAGCCCCTGGATGTTGTGTAATTTGTTGTTAAACTGTCAATTCAATTGACGTTACTCATACGACCCGTTGTGCAGCGGATGTTTAGCACAGCGAGGGCTCCCCTCTCTTTTTATTTAGCATTCCTACTTCTATGACAATCTATGGTCCCCACCGCCCGCTAACTAATTTCTGGTTCAACAAAAACCATTTTTCAGGTCTGCAAATAAATGCGGAAAAGGTCTTGCAGCCCTCCCTAACTTTTGCTTTCGATGGATGTTGCATAAGAGATTTTCAATTTCAATTTCCAATTTTCACCGGCTTTAATCAAGCTGTTAAGACCCACTGGGGATATTTTAATGTCGTTTTTCTTGCGTCTCTTTGGTGTTGTGCCATAAACTTCCCCTTATAAAATAGCTGGAGGCCAGCCAAGAGAATGTTAAGGAATATTCAACCAAACATCGAGCACATGAGAAAAATGAGTACGTTAAGGGAAAAGTATAACATCGTAATTAATATGGAAAATTGTACTTTTTTCTTAATGTTTTTTTCGTTATGTAAAGTATTTCGAGATATCCAACACCTCGAAATTTTCTCCTATTAAAATGCAACCACAAGCGGAACGAGTGAATTGTCGCTCCAGCGACTTTTCTTGCCAAATGTCTCTGCATTTCCCATTTTCTCAACTCGGATTTGTATGTTCTTTTTTGCCAGGATCCGAATTAAGTCCTTGAGTATACAATGCACAAGTAAAAAGGCCCTGTAATTAAGCAGTGATTAAAAAGGTCACTTTCTTTCTCGCCTTGATGATGCAATTTGTGTATGACTGGACTGCAGAATTATTATCACCTTCAACTGACATTTTTAATCTGGTCTTAAAGGTTTTTTGTGTATTTATTTGGTGAGTCACCGTCTTCGGATAAAAAACAAGCTTTTATATGAATTCTTTAACAACGGAAATACTTAAATATGTGTCATCTTTGGGCGTTAAATGATGTAATTTATAATACTTTCAATTAAATCGATACTAGAACGCTGGCGTCGTTGTCTAAGATATTTGTAGTTTTAATAGTTCAGATATGATGTATAGATTTTATAGATCTTATTTGGTATATGGATAGGTTAATCTTGAAGGGGAAACTCCTAATTTTTCCTGTAAATACCAATGAGCTGGGCTACATTTCCTGTACCCTTTTAGCAGCAGTCATTCCCCTCTTCATATCCGCATCGGAAACGCCAAGAGGTGTATGTATAAAGACGCTGAAAAACAGGAACTGAGGTATCTCTCCTCTAATGATCGGACTGTGTGTTATATCGCCTCTCCTCCTCCAATTATCTATATTTAAAATCATGTAACGCATTATGACTTCATGATAGACATGAGATGGCAAATTGATTAAGCACAATTAATTGTAATTAATTACAAGGAGCCATTGCCATTATGTCACTCTATCCAATCAATTTGCCAACGTCTTTGGCCAACCTTTCTTCTTGGCCCTTAACTCTGTTACATTTCTCACACAAAAGGAAATGGCTTTTTTTTCGAAGAGATCCATATTATATTGTTGTTAATTTGTTTCTCGGGCTGCCGTTTTGGGAAAGTGGCGCCGCCTGCTGGCCAAGTAGTGCAATTAGCCGAAAGTAAAAGTGGGCTGCACTGCGGGAAATCGGGGGTAAACATACCATATACAGCATATACCTATTGTCTGAAACGGTAGCGAGTGGAAAGGTTTTCCCCAAGCCCATTTGAATGGTAGACATGTGGAGATGCAATGATTTCGGATCGCTTTGGTTCGGTTTCGTAGTATCTACATATGTATGGATACTATGTATGTAGCTATGGATATATCTTTCCACATTTGAGGCTCGCGTGCAATCATCAATAACCAGATTTCAATGCCAAGACCTCTTGCAGCCCCCCGAAAGTCATTAACATTAGTCAAAATGAAAGTTTTCCCAGCGGACAATAGTCACCTTGAGAACTTTACACCCGAAAGAATATTTAGCCATAGAATGGATATGGATTCCATTTGGGGGAGTTATAAAAAAACTATATGTACTTAGAAATTCTATTGTTTTAGACTTTTTATTTATGCCTACTGAAAAAATCTTTATTATTGAAAATTATAATATATATACTTATTTTATGTTTTTATATTAACATTTTTTTTTTAACTTAAAGAGGTACTAAAATTTAATATTTTACCAGAAGCCACATCTGCTTTATAATTAAGTTTTATTTATCCATTGTATGTAAATATAAACATGTAATTTGTAATATATTTTAGCGCAATTACGTGCTTTTTCTGAGATTCAAGCGATATTCTTGATATCAGAACACGTCCGAAAAGGGTCCAACGTAGAACGCAGTAAATCAAGAATTCTGGGGAGGGCGAGTTGTTTTTGGGGGCTGGGTCTGTGTGACGTCAAAGCCTTTTGTTTGCCACCTTCTACGTGATTTATTCGCGAATAGAACGCGGCTACGAGACAGCCATTTGCATAACGAGGAAGGGAGGCGGAGGTGGTGGATGGCTGGATAGATGGTGGCCCAAACCACAATTATGCAATTTCCTGCCTGGCTCTAAGCACTTAATTATGGTTATTAAAAATTTGGCAAATAGTTTCTTCGCTCTTGTGCGCCCGATCATTTGCACATAGTTAGCTTGAAGCCAGACGCATGTGAAACATCGGAATTGGCCATATCATTATGGTTAAAATATATATGTATGTGCATTTGTGGTGGCTCGGATGTGGCGTGCCAGCTCTAAGTCAGATTTGCAAATCCGAAACGAGTTGAACGAACGACGGCAGCGATGCTTTGACCATCATCATTCGAGAGATGACAATCTGAAAAATTGGAAAACAGCGGGAGAAAAATTTGAAGGCGTGAAGAGAAAGAGCTTATTTATAACCATCTCTGAAAGATTAGGAGGTGTTTAATGTCTTCATTTGTTTAATTGGCAAATTGGTTGAGCAAATCAATTAAAAGCTAAATAAATACATTTATACATATGTTCCAAAAAGTGTTCAACCCTAAATAGATTAATGCCACCACTAACACCTTTAAGAACCGACATATGTCAGTATGCATTGAATGTGAACTAAAATAATAAACCTAACCATTTCGGTCAGTTACTGTTTATACAGTTGGGGTTACCATTAGCCATTATTGTATTATTCACTTATCAAACCGGTCTAACGAATGAATTATTTAGGGCAAGATAGCTGGGAAACCGGGTTAATTCCTGGAGGGTTTCCCTTTTTAGGTCGAACCCCTTTAGCGGCTGGTCAAATAGTTTGATTGTATTGAATTCGAGTGGGCCCAGTCTCTCGGGCAAACCAACTGGCCGCCTTATCAAGCACCGGGAATCGGTGTCAGCTAATCGCACCCACAACGAACCGCTGACCCCAATAGAGGAGCACCACCCGACCAAAAACCACTTGGCCATGCCCACCGCGTCGTATGGAAATGGAAAACAGAAAACAAACCTAGAAGTCCAAACCAAAACAGAGAACGGAATAAGAAGCGCCAGTCCAAACATGGTCAACGGAATTGGTTTGTCACTTTCTCAGCCAGACCCAAAGAAACCCGAACGCGTCATATGGGTGCGCCCTTCAGAAAAGAAGAACACAGTGTTGGTCAACACAATAGTTGATAGCTATAAAAAATCTAAAATTCTAAGATTGTTTTTTCTTAAAACATATACAGAGGCGTTAACAAAAGAACGAAATAATATATTATTATATATCCGGTTTCCAAAAAATCAACCAGAAAATAACCGCACCATCTTTCAAGTACAATTTTTTAAATTAAAACACATTATTTAATCTAAATACATGTATACACAATGACATTTTAACCCCTGCTGTTGCAACGACGTCATTTGGTTTCAATGGGGTTCTGAACCCAACCCAAAGCAGTATACGTTACACTCGAGCACGTTCTTATCGCAATTAATTGCCTTCGCATTGCATAAGCAGCGCAAAATCTTAAAATAATAGCAAAACATAATCTCTTGACTGAGTCAGCCCAGTGGGTTATAATTGTAATTAGCCAAAGCCAAGGCAAGTCTTTGCTTTGATTAGCCAAAACCGACTTGGAGGCTGAAATTACACTACATTTAAAAGGGGTAGGGGTTAAGGGGGCCGATATCTGGCGGAGATCGGTGGGATCAGCCAGCCGGATCCGCAGTGGAGCGCAACTGAGTGTGTCCAAGTCAGCGGGGCATCCAAATCAGACCAAAGATCACCGAGGAATCTAGTATCTAGTCGTCCTTGAAGCCAACTCACTCCACAAATCATTCCAACGTAGGCCTAGAACTTCAAGTCGTTTTGAATATTATTCATAATCGTTGTAGAACTAGTCCAGAATACTTGTTTCCTTATATTTTCTAATGAAGTATTACCATTTCGGTACGGGAAATAACCGTTTATCACCATAAACGGGAAAAACCAAATTGTTTCAGTGGAGAAATATTAATTGCTTAGGTTAAAAGCAATCTTTGGTGTCCATAAACCGTTTTAAACCTTTTTATTTATCCACTTGCAGTTGCACCTGAAACAAGAGGGAAGAAAGCCCAATATCAACGTGAGGAGTGAGGAAATCAAAGTAGGACCAACAACAACCACAATTGTGAGTACCACGGGGAAATGAAAATGAAAACAAACAATCTGAAAATCATATGCGGAGAGTCGCAGATGGGAATGGGAATGAGATTTCAGATTTTTGTGACCATATCCGGTTGCCAGTCGGCAGTTGCAATTGCATTTGCAGCCTCCATCACAACATCAAAACAATAGGGAAAAAAACGAGAGACGAAAAGCGGAGCGAACTGAAAACGCAACTTGGTCTTTCAGGGCTCATGAATATCGCATCTTGGCATTCGCCATTGTGGCCATTTTTTTTTGGGTGGGAGGAGATATCTAAGGGAAGTTGCGTAAAACGATGATATATTCACAATAGATCGGGGTGATAGGATCGGTCGACTGATGATGGGGAAATCAAAGCGATCAAAAGATTTTTCGTTTACCGTTTTTTTTAACTCTTTGGCAATTATGAGGTGAAGAACTTCAACCTCAAACTATTTTTAGTCCATCTAAAACTATTACTACTATTATTAGCATAAAGAATTTGTGTAGTTTTAGTCTTAAAATTTTAAACTAAGCCATGAATTCTGTAATTCGTTATATATTATCATATCTATGTGTATAAGTATATAATCGTTAAGCTTAAATGTACTTAATTTAAGTGTTGTTCTAATCTAAATTAAGTGCCGCTTTATAGAGTTGTATTAGTAGTTTGTGAGCTTTAAAATGCATACATAGACTGAAGATTTTAAACACTGTTCACTAATAACAATAATCCACCTGAACAGCTGTCAAACACTGGATTCTACAACCCCACCCAAAAACCCCAAAACCCAAGATCAAGTAGGCTGTGCCTTTTGCCGAGTCGAATGTCAAATGGTTTGAGCTCAAGTCAAATCATTTTGGTATACCTTCTTAGCAAGACTAAACATAATACCGTTTGAAAATAAAATTCCAACCAAGATGCCGAATAAAAAATTTCCAAAAATGTCGCAGGCGCAACTAAAACTTTTGATAAAGAAACAAAATCAGAATTTTGAAAAGCCCATGATAATTCTTCAGCCGCCGAGGTATATACAGCAGCCGCCGATAAGGGAGTTCAGCCGAGGAACGAATTCGGTTTCCCCCAAGAAGCAGACCAAAACGGAGGTTCGCCCTGTATCTCCAACTCAGAACATTGGAAGGCCTATACCTATTCTTCAGCCGCTGTGGCACAAACAACAGTCGCCGGTTATGGAGTTCAATCGGGGATCGAATCCGGTTTCCCCCAAAAAGCAGACCAAAACGGAGGCTCGTCCTGTAACTCCAATTCAGAATATTGGAATGCCTATGACTATTCTTCAGCCGTCGTGGTATATACAGCAGCCGCCGACTATGGAGTTCAATCGGGGATCGAATCCGGTTTCCCCCAAGAAGCAGACTTACCCGGAGTATCGTCCCGTAACTCCAACTCAGAATATTGAAATGCCCATGACAATTCTTCATCCGCTGCAGTATATACAGCAGCCGCCGCCGATTATGGAGTTCAACCGGGGTTCGAATCCGGTTTCCCCCAAGAAGCAGACTTTTCCGAAGGTTCGTCCCGTCACTCCAACTCAGAATTTTGAAAAGCCCATCACAGTACTTCAGCTGTCGAGGTCTATACAGCAGCCGCCGGTTATGGAGTTCTATCAGGGAACGAGTTGGGTTTCCCCCAAGAAGCAGGTTAAACCGAAGGTTCCTCCTGAAACTCCAACTCCTGGCGAAACAGGAAAATGGCAACAAAACCGTGATATGGAGGTGCTGGTGCCGATGAAAGAGGAGCCGCTACAGATGATGCAGGTGGCTCAGTCCCTGCAAGAGGTTCTTTGGCAGGATGATGCCAAGCAAAGGGAACAGAACCCGGAGAATGATGCCAAGCAAAAGAAACGGAACACGAAGAATGATGGCAAGCAAAAGAAACAGAACCGGAAGAATGATGCCAAAGAAAAGAAACAGAAGCTGGAGAATGATGCCAAGCAGGGAGAACAGAACCTGGAGGATGATGGCAAGCAGGGCTCCGAAAAGCAAGTTAAGCGCACGAAGCGTACACATAACAAAGACCGTGGTAAGGATCGTAAGAATGGGCAGAACACTCGTCTGAATCAGGAGCAAGCTGCTAACGAGGACTCATCTGGGTACCAGCAGCTTTTTGGATCCTTTAGCTCTTCTTTGTCATCATCAACAACCACATCGTCATCGTCATCTGCCTCGAGCAATGGTCCAAAAGCGGTCGTAACCCTTGCCAATTTTCCGAGCCTCGAGACATTGCAGAAAACCGCCTGGAGTTTCTTTTTCCATCCCGAACTTAAACCGGTTGATACTCCGCCCACAACACAAGGGGATTCGAATTCGATTCCCCTCCAACCTCCGCCCTTGGATCTGAGGGCCCTCAACTTGGCCTTTGAAACCTTAGCTGTTTGGGATCTTTGGAATAAGGAGCCCCTAGCCGAGGAGTCCAGCCGACCGCGACCGAAAGGCAGCATCTTCGATGAATATATAACGCCCAATTTTAAGCTGACTCGGGAGCAGAAGCTTCGCCTGCAGGCGGTCGTCTCGCAGGAGGATATTCCGCTGGAGGAGGCCCTCATGGCCGTTATCCAGGATCTGCACAAGGAGCGACTGGCTCGGGATGCAGCAGCATCACCAGCAGCACCTGAATATCCCACCAACATTCAGGGATATCCGGTTAAGTCTTCATATTCGCCGGACAGTACTCATCAATCTCAGCCGGAACACGGATACGATTCGCAGCCGGCAAATGGTTACTACCCGCAGCCGACAAATGATTACTACTCGCACCCGGTAAATGGTTACTACTGGCAGCCGGGAGACGGTTACTACTTGCAGCCGGGAAACGGCTACGGCTACCAACCCCAACCGGGATATGGCTATGATCCCAATACCGATTCTCAACCGATGATGGACACCAGGAAGGCGGTGCCCATGCCACCGGATCTTAGCCGTCCGCCGCCGGGTTATCCGATGCATCCACAGCCGGTCTATCCGATGCATCCGCAGCCTGGCTATGCGATGCAGCACCAGCCTGGCTATCCGATGCAGCACCAGCCTGGCTATCCGATGCAGCACCAGCCTGGCTATCCGATGCAACAGCAGCCTGGCTATCCGATGCAGCAGCCTGGCTATCCGATGCAGCAGCAATCTGGCTATCCGTTGCAGCAGCAACCTGGCTATCCCATGGAACATCAGCCTGGCTATCCGATGCAGCAGCCTGGCTATCCGATGCAGCACCAGCCTGGCTATCCAATGCAGCAGCAACCTGGCTATCCCATGGAACATCAGCCTGGCTATCCGATGCAGCAGCCTGGCTATCCGATGCAGCAGCAGCCGGGCTATCCGATGCAGCAACAGCCTGGCTATCCCATGGCGGAACAGAAGTCGGATGGTACACCACAGGATCCTAAGCGTCCTCAGGACAATGATTTCGTGTCGGACTTCATCAGGGACTTCTTGCCGGACATCCTAGCGGCACCTGACTTCAACGCCAGCAACTCGAATCGCTCCAGCCCTTCGAGCCGCGGCAGCATGCTGTGAATAGCCGGCGGGGAAATAGGAATACTGTAGCATATATATCATTGATACTAGTCCCCCATTGACGGGTTTTATAATGTAGAAAAAAAACAGAACTTGTATACTGCAGTATATTTCATTTTTCATCTATGTATGTTATAATAAACAAACATTTGTGATGTAACAAGCTAATATTATAAGTTCCTTATTCGTAGTACCAAGATAATTTTAGATCTGTTTAAGAAAAGTTTTTTTCCTTATTTAGTTTAAGCTCTCAACTAGATGGAAAACAAATGAGTTATCTTTTAAATGTATAGGAAAGCCATCAAATTTCACTTTTTATCCAACTCGAAACGAAGAAGAAAGTATGCGAAAAAAGATAAAGGAAAAACGAGCATCTTACCAACAATTGAAATGGAGGAAAAAAACAACTTGTCAGCTTCAATTGTTTGGCAGACAGTTTCGTTTTCTAATATTACCAAACCAATGCCAACAAAAGGGTTTTTTCGGCCAAGTCTCTTGGCGGAAATCAAATTAGATGAGTTGCCTATGGAGTATTTCAAGAAATTAAATATTGTAAAGTGTAAAAATATTATTTGTCATTTGAATTAAGGTTTGTAAAACGGTTGGTTTGGGAAACATCGACCCAACATCGATAGTTTCAGCAATTTTTTAAAACATGGCGGTATTTTAAATGTTACGGTTCGACGCCGAACTTTCATTTAATTGCGTTTACACTTAGATAGATTTATTTTCTATAAGTATTACTACGATTTTCGATAGTATCGATAATATCGATAGAGACCACCATCGATAGTCAAAATTATGGATCGATGTTTTCCCAACCCTAATCTGAGTGATTGTTTTTTAGTCATCATATCAGCAAATGCTTTCTAATCAACCACATTAGATAAGGCCTGTCAAAATGCATTAAATAAATTAGGCAAATCAATTAATATATCGTATTACTTATGACATTATCGCAGACACATAAAACCATTTATCAAAGAAAGCCAGCTGGTCATTGAACGCGTTCGATTAATTCGATTTCAAATTATAAAAGTAAGTGTAATAATTTGATTGAGATACCAAGAGACAATTAATTACTTTTCTGATTAATAACACGTTGATAGTTTGAGCTGTTTCTTTTTTATAAATGCAGAAATAGGCAATACCATTTCTAAAACCATCTGATCCAGGTAACCACAATTGTTTTGCAGTTGTGACACGCACGTTACTTGCTGGTGACCCCGATCTAGAGGCATTTTGTTTGTCGTATGCTGGGCGCATGAAAATGAAATTTCACTTTGTTCTGCGAAGTGAGGGAGCCTTCACTTTCGATTTGCATACCGAAAATGAAGTTATTTGTTAGACAAGTGGGTCTGGGTAGACTGGGGAAGACAAAGAAAAGCCCTCAGCCCCCGAAAGAAAAGAAATTTAGGAAAATGGCAGGTTACAGCCAGTTAAATGGGTTTCCACTGTGCCGAAAGTAACAATTACTTGCCGTTGTGGCGGCATTTTGCTAATTTCAATAAATATATTTACTTATCCACAATGGAAGGTACTTAAACTCAAAATGGATGAGATCACCTGGCTCATCTTCAATTTATTCAGTTACGAACTACACATTGTTCTTAGCCCCAAAACTCTTTTAACTTGTTTTACCTTTTCGAGCAAACTAATTATAAATGCCATATTTAACATTAAATTCAATTAAATTCCTATTATTTATTCTGATTTGAAATTAGAATGTACGCATTTGGATTTATAACAATCGAGGCACTTAAGTAATAATTGTTGAGCGGGAATCCAGTTTTTAGTTTTGCGTGCCGCGAATAGAAAGTGAGCGTGAACTTTCCCACCCACTTTTCCAGAGCCGCCCACCGCCCCTCTGAGCCCCACCCCCTGCATATAATTATTGCACTTTGCCTTTTCAATTTCGCCTTTGTCGCCTGCACTTGAAGGTTGCCTTGTTTTTATTTTCTTTAAGTTTTGTTGTGTTCTCCCTCTGAGGTTTTTTATTTCAGCAGGGTACTTTTCCTTTGTGGCGAGCTTTGTTAAGAATTAAAAAATTAATTATACCATTAACTCTCGCCAATATAAATATTTGGTTAATATTTAAATTTTATTATGTTCCTAACCGCACAAAAACCATTTACCATAGTTCTAAACTAATAACACAGTGCCCAACCCCATCGATTATAACTTAAGTGACTGAGCTATTATATCGAACTGGTTTTATTATACGTTTGCGTCTATTCAGAGCACTAGTCAGTCCAGTTAGTCCATATTAAATATGAGAATATAACAAGCGATTGAGTTATGAATGCCTCTGAATGTCATGATACAAAGTCTAAATATGGTCTCTATAAAATAAAAACCAATTGCAAAGGGTATCTGATGAAGAGGCCAGGCAAATAGGTATTTCCCTGGGTGTTTTCTTTGTGGCAGGGCTTAATTGCAATGTGGAGGCACTTGCTCCAGTTTTGCGGGCATATGAAAGTGCATTTGGTTTTTCTCCTCCGTTTTCTTTGCCTTTGTGGTATTATGAAATGGTCTGCATACAGGGCCCAGGGCCTTGAGTCCGATTCCAAAATGCGCCCATACAGCAGTGCTCCCAAAAATAGTAACAGTGGAGATTTTTGTCATTATTTTAAAACGTCAAGTATATGATTATCTCAAAAAAGAAATATAAAAGAAACAATTTTTAATTTATTTAATTTTTATTCTACCTGAAATATATTTGTGTTGGACGATTGAAGAGCTAACTGTTTAGAATCTTATTAAACAATAAGAAAAGGTATGACTTTAAAGCACTTAAGACGACTAATATTTTGAACCGACCTGTAGATGCGGTGCATCTGCATTTTCCCGGCTGCTGGGTAAATTGTTTAACGATGCTGATGAGATTTGCATAGCATACCATTCTTCCCCTGGGCCTGGGCCTGAAGCCCAGTCTGGTATGGATGTCATTCGTTATGGTTCGCAGAACCTCTCCATTTGCCTGGCTTTGTTTACAATAAATCCGGCGGGCTTTAAACAATTGCTGTTTTGTTTTATGGCCCCGTCGAATTACCATGGAGCATAAAAAACATAAAGCCGTCGGCCAAATGCTTTTTGTGACCTTTAACGCCTGATGCCGTCATGTCAACTACTATCTACTTATGTATCTGGTTGTGTGCCAAGTGGCGTATGCGTAATACTGCAGGTGAACTTTCATCAGTTCATTTCTAGATATACCCATTTCCAACGTATGTATCTTATCGGTTGAAGAGAACACAACTCAAACAAGACAATTAACCCAAATAAATGGGTAAAATACGTTTAACAAATTCTCTGTTCTCGGTTCTATGTTCTCGTTTTTAGCACAAGCAAATGTACGTGCCGCACAAATGCGAATTAGGCCGGGCTTCAAATTGTGGTTTTCGGCTCTTGGAATTGCCAAAGTTTGTGTATCCCAAAAGAAACAAAAACAACATGAAAACCAGCAGCTAAAACTTAATTTGTATTTATTTGCCCAAAATTGGAATGCTAATTTTTGCTTTGTCAAGTACCTGGTGTTTATGGGGTATTTTCGACATGCAAGAAAAGAGGAAATCCCATAAATTACCTTATAATTCGAAGGTATTTATAAATATGAAATGTACCCATCAAATGTCTCTGATAGAGCTATAAAAACACTTCAATTTTTCAGAATGCTAAATGTCTTGCTTGCTTGCCAGTTTATTATAATATTTATTTGCTGGCTGAGTATCGCAGCGTCGGCACCATTCAATCGTTGTTTGCTGGCTTTGTTTGTACTGCCAGTTGGCCAGAACAAAGCGGCAAAACAATTAAGAGCAAGCACGAGAGGGCCGAGGAGGTGGCCCATACAGTCAGAGCCATTTAAGACAGTTACATCTTTTTTTTTGCGTGGGCAGAAACTCGAAATGAAATTAACAAACAAGAAAAAAGGGATGGGCTGGCTGAAAATAATCATTCGAAGATGCGACTGAAGAAGGCTCTTTTGTTTATGACACAAGTCGTCGACCTTCGGTGGGTGGGTGCACAGAAAAAAAAGAAGTACATTAAATCATACTAAATTTCATAATGATATCCAGTCTCAAGAGATCTTGAACTTGTATCCTTGGTTTGGTAATCGTATCAAGAACCATATTCATTAAAAAGATGTGAAGTGGCTCACAATCATAATTGCCAAGTCTCAAGGGATCTTACAGTTTATCCGCTTTTTGTTTTCTGTGTAGGCCGTAGGATGAGTATGGGGCACCCAGAAATGCCCCAAAAAGGCAACCACTCCGGGGACCGGCGACTAAACCCGTTTCTCAGAATATAAAACGTATTTCGAAAACGCGATTTCGATGACTTCATCGAAACAAGCTAACAACACACATACTTAATGCCAATTGTTTCCACGGTTCCACTGACTCATCCTCACCCACTCTTTCTCCCCATCTCTTCCAGCGTTTGGGAGCAGTTGTCGCAAGATCACACAACGGGACGCATCATGACTTTCTACTGGTGGTCACACTGGTTCTGGATAACCCTGATCCTCAGTGGTAAGTAGTAGTTGCAATACACCCAAGTGGATTTAGGATCTTATCGATTAGAAATGGATTGTAAAAAAGGATATTACTTATTTTAATTTTTTTGAAAATTAAAATACATCCATAACTAATTTTTTATGGATCATTGAAAAGCGCTTCACTTATATTATATCCCGTTTTTGGGCCCTTATTTTATAGTACTCATAGATAAACCTTAACATTTTAATGTAAACTTAATTTCGTTCTTAATTTATTTTAACATTTTAAGTAAATTTTAATTAATTTCATTAATTTCCACATATAATATAACCATGTCTCATTTCATTTAATTGATTTTATTAATTATCCCGCAGTTAACTTGCTGTCCAGCCATGTCCACACATATCCCAGCCAGGAGGCGGAATCGCAGCACGTGCGAACCACCAAACTCTACCAGACGACGGTGACCCAGACGTGGGGCACAGCCACCCAGAGCAACATCATGGACCTGACCCACCGACCCACCACCAGCCGGCCGGTGGTGACCCCCAGTTACAATGGTGACCACCAACTGGCGCAGGTCGATGAGGTAGACCAGGCGATGGAGCTGCAGGAGGAGCAGCTGCCGCTCAACGATCGTGACCAGGAGCAGGATGAGAATTCGGATCCGGATCGGGAGCAGGAGCAGGAGCAGGAGCAGGATGAAGATCGGGAGCAGGAAGAGGCAGATCAAGATCCTGATCAAGATGCGGATGCGGATACCGAGGAAGCTGCCGCGAACGAGGAGCTGGCTCAGTTCGAGTTCAAGCGATCGGCGGACTTCACCTCCGAGCAGCTCAACAACTTCACGAATTTCAGCAGTAGCACTAGGTGAGTTTACCTATTTGGTTTTAGTTTTTTATTATTAAAAACAAGGAAGAACGCTATAGTCGAGTACCTCGACTATCAGATACCCGTTACTCAGCTATATGGAGATATGCAAGCAGCAAAGCGAGATTAAAATGCGCCATCTACCGGCGGAATACAGATTTAAGCGATATGGGCGTTAGAGTGGGCGTGGCAAATTTTTTTTTTGATCAATCGATAGGTATCGACGAGACCAATACATTTCAGTTAAAATTTTTCATCTAGCATGAAAATTGTGGGCGTCACAGGTTTTCGCGGTTTATGGGCGTTAAAGTGGGCGTGGCAAACTTTTTTTTGGGTCAATCGATAGGTATTGATGAGAACAATACATTTCAGTTAAAATTTTTATTCTAGCATCAAAACTGTAGGAGCCACAGTTTTGGGCGGTTTGTGGGCGTTAGAGTGGGCGTGGCACTCTGCTGAAACAAACTTGCGCTGCGTAAAAAGCTCAGGAATCTGCACGCCAAATCTCAATAGCCTAGCTCCCATAGTTTCCGAGATCTCAGCGTTCATCCGGACGGACAGACAGACGGACAGACGGACAGACGGACATGGCTAGATCGACTCGGCTAGTGATCCTGATCAAGAATATATATACTTTGTGGGGTCGGAAACGCTTCCTTCTGCCTGTTACATACTTTCCGACGAATCTAGTATACCCTTTTACTCTACGAGTAACGGGTATAATTATTGTAAAAAATCTTCTTTATTTCCATGACAATTTTTTTTTCTTAGATATATTTAGGTACTTCTAAATGTAGCTTAGCTCTTATACCAAATTTCTAAAATTATTTTAAACGTTTTTTTTTTGCCCCTCTATTGGTTTTATTAGTGTGATAATTAAAACGTTCAATTCCCTTTGGGAATCTATTAAAATATCTTTGTATTTCTTATAATTTTTGTTAATATATGTACAATGTACATACATTGTACATACACAATTTAATATAATATTATAATTAATATATATTTTTCATTCAGTACAAATGGCAGCAGCAGTAGCACCACCACAACAAAACCTGTTGCGATCAGCAGCAGCAGTCCGGCCACAACAACAACGACAACCAGCACCACCACCACAAGGGCGGTGGCAGGATCAACAACAACACCGAGATCCGGAGGCAGTGCATCCACATCCACGGTGGCTGGTTCGGCGGCCACTCCATCGACGCCCAAGATCAATACGGAGTGGCTGTCCGACGAGCTCCTGGCGGGTGCGGCTGGTGGAGCGGGGTCAGGGGTCACGGCCGAGGGCGAGGGCGAGAAGGCCCCATTCACCCTGGAAAACGCCAACAAGGAGGATGAACTCAGACGGGCCGAGAGCGAGCACAGATCGCGCAAATCCAAGGTCCTCTCCGCGGAGTACAAGCACATAAATCGCTACATCAACTTCTCCAGCGACACCAAGAGCCTCCTGACCAGGTCCGCCTCCGCGGCGCCCAGTGTGGCGGGGGGCGTGCCTGGATCCGGGTTCTACGATGGAACCATCGGCGACGAGGGCAACATCTCATCCGAGGCCCTGGCCATTCAGGTGGGTGGAATCCTTAAACAACTTATACTTATTATAGCTTAAGCACCTTATTTCGAAACTCACTTTTTTTCAAGCTATTGACCTATCAATCTACTGATTTATATTAAATTTTATACAACTATTCCCCGAATAATATAATTTTTTACTCAAAATAAATTTATTTAAATAAAAAATTATAAGAAGTCAAAAGAGATTAAGATATAATTATCTCCAATACAAAATCAAAGAATTGGTATATCTCCATTTTTTTTTAATTTATGTTATTCAACATTGTTAGTATTTAATATAATTTTCTAATCAAAATATCTTTACCTATATAAAAAGTTATAGATGTTTAAAAAGACAATTAGGGTTTTGTCTTTTTTTTAAATAATAAAGAAATTATTTTTCCTATACTTATATTTAAATTATTTTGGTAATTATAATAAATGAAACCACTGTTTCTTCTTTCAGCGAACTTATTTCCTGGATGCGGGTGCCATTTCGGCGATTTGCTTCACTGTCTTCGGCGTCTGCTGCACAGTGGGCACCATCGGCATCGTCCTGTACCGCAGACGGTATCTGAACAAACCGCAGGCCCTCAGCGAACCAGACTCGAGTGTCTACATCGACGACAGCACCATGCGGGTGAGTGTAAGGATTCGTTCACCAATGGCCCTGGGCACCTGAGTTTCCTATGCACTGAATAGTTCTCCCTCTTGATTTTGCAGGACAACTCGGATGAGATGTACAGCCTGGACAACGACTCGTTTCTCAACTCGCTGGAGGCGATGACAATACAAAACTACTGGACGGATACGGTCAAACATACAAAGCTTTAATTTCCGGCCTCTCCCGTTGGATGTACCCCCTCCGCGTAACGTTTATTCGTTTTTAGTTCCGTTTTCGTTTCGATTTCGATTCGTTCTTTCAATGGAATCCCATTCCTGATTTACAACCAGACATCATAATCATTAAGTAGCGTAGAGTTTAAGCGTGTGTGTATGTATTTACTAATGTTAGGCAACCAAACGAGCAACTAGTTTAAGCCCAAACTACCAAAATTATGTTTAGTGTACGTGTAGATCCTAAGTGCGCAATGTTTTTTGTTGGTCTTGGCTGTTAATTTAAGCCTCCTTTTAACCACTCTACCCGATTTACTTCCCAATCCCTGCTCTCTTGACAAACCCTTTTGTACTCGTATCTGTTAGTTAATTATTAAACCTTATTTATATTGTTGACTATTTTATCGACCCCGCGCCCCTTCCAAGCCTAATTTTAAAACGCCTATTTATTAAGTTTCCAACCTTATGTGTGTCCAACAATTAAACGCAATCATTCCTTCCAGTTTAGCCTATAGAGCAACTTTACACTGTAATTACTGTATTTAAAGCGAAGCAAGCAAACAACAATTAAAAGAAAACGTCACACATACACATCGGTGTTGCTAGAGTTTTAGAGAAAATAAACAGTTTCAAGGAGAAAAATATTAATAGAATTTAATTCGTTGTTGAAAGGAATTTGTTTCGATGGGAAAACTAAACAAACGATTGATTTACAATATGAAAACAACCTATTATCACCGAAATTCTGGCAACACTGCATTCAATTGTTTCAATATAATCATATATATCAAAGAAGTATAAGCTAACGAAGAACAAGAAAACTGTTTACTGCCACACAATCCTTGTCAATTTTGCTCATCGAACTTTTATACACCACTTGTACTTGTATTATCCGTTCGAATGTTGCAAATATTATACGAAAAACCAAACCCAGATGGTACATTAATCATTAAATGCTAAACTGAAATGATTCGAAAATCTGTTATCCATTGGCGTGGCCATATCGCTGGGAAATGTTGAAAGGTAATGATAAAGGTAAGAATGGTACACCAAATACTATAAAATATATTAAAATAGTCTCAAAGACGGTTACAGATGTTAAAGGTTTTTTAAATTTTTTAGAGCGGGAAATTTGCTTAAACATATATTTTCCAAATCGAAAATGAGGTCACTTGAAAAACATGGAAAACTAACTTCTCAGCTGGCTTTTTTGAACTGTTGCCATACATTGTTTTAATGCATAATAAGAAGGGTCGCGTACCCCGAGTTCAATAACTCTATTTAAAAGTAGAAACGTAATATTAACATAAATGGGATCGGTAAAACAGGATGGTGTCTCCACTATGTCATAATTGTAAAATCGTAGCGGATACATCAACCTGGCATTTCAGCGTGGCCGTTTGCAGTATTTTTTGGTATATTTGATTAGATAAAAAATGCATTGACTTATCGGTAACACTGCTGCCTATCGGTCTGCGCCAATCGAGTTGCTGAAGGAGTGCAATAAATATGAATTAAATGGTAAATATTAAACCGCGACAGGTGATGTTTTCGTAGTCGCTGGCTCTCACTGCTGTTGTTGCCCCCGATGCAGTTGTTGTTGTCGTCGTCGCCGAGTTGCTGTTGCCCGAACGTGTGTGTGTTCTGAGGTGTTGTGCGGCGGACGTACATAAGTGTGTGTATGTTGTGTTGTGCGATTCCCACACCAAAAAAAAAAAGAAAAGGAGCTGCGAAAAAAAACACGGCAAATCTATTGATTTTTAACAATATGCACATGGATAGACACACATTACGGTAATGGGGAGTTTTGTTTTTCCCACGCCTCATGCCGAGTGTTGCAACAAAGCGACGATTGCAACAATCGGCGGACAACAAAGGGGCACCACCCACCATCCTCCCTCTTCTCCACCACCCACCACCCACTTGCACCACCCCCCATCAGCCACTCATTCTTTATCGTGTGGGTGGTTGTTGTGTCTGGCTGCAGCTTCCTGCGTTTGTTTTGCCTGCGCGAGGCGAGGACTTTTGGAGGCCAAGTTTACGTGTGCGCAGGAACTGGGGATATTATATTGGGAACACAGGAACTCAGTGACTGGAGCTCAGGGGCCCAGAGAGACGGGCAATAGTGGTTTAATTGTCAGCAACATTACAAATTTAAAAACAACTATAAAACCTATATATATAAAGTGATATGGCTGGCAGTCCTAAAGAAGTCAAACAAGGACTGACAAGGGTTTCATACATATTATATACCATAACACAAGGTGAATTCAATTAAAAACAGCTTAATTGTGGTCTAAAAAGGAGTTCCCAAACCAATACATCCTTTAAAAAGAGCTATAAAATTGAACAATCATTAAGATATAATAGTTAAAGTTCCCCAACTCTAAAGCCTACTAATTCCACTGGTAACAAATTTCCTAGCACACTTTCAGGCACCTTCATGGGGGATTTAAAACCTCTTAAGCCCATCCCTATAACCATAACACCTGTAATAAATGACAGGGTATCGCAAGCACTGCGTCACCAACAGCGGCCACCTGTCCCTGACTTTTTGCTAAGCTCTGGTGCAGTGCAGTGATTCATTGCCGCCTTAGATCATCATCGACTAATCACCCATTCTCCCCCAGGCAGTGGCCCCCAGTGAGGCAGCAAGCGCAGCAGCAGAAGCAGCGAATGCAGCACTAGAACATTAGCAGCCATCGAAGCCGCAGTCCCTCGTCCCCGGAGATCCCCAGTTGCTGGTCCAGCCATGAACTCCAACTCCTGCAGCGACAGCAGCAACGAGTCCATGGTCAATCCGGCGCACATTCAGATGAACTTTGGCCAGCAGCCGCAGCAGCAGGTTCAGGGACAACAGCAGCAGCAGGAGCGATATGTGTGGGAGATGCGCACCCGTAGTCCGAATGTTACGCCAGCCAGCACGGTGCTCAATTCGCCGGATCTCAATGCCGAGCTGTCCTACGTCCCGCTGCAGGGTCTGTCCCCGTCCGGCGGAGGTGGTCAGGTGTCCGGCGGCTATGGGTTGAATGCGGCCCGTGACTCAGGCGGCTATTACTACCAGCGACCGCACTTGCATCAGATCCGGCTGGGCAGGAGTCCGGGCAGCCAGTTCGAGTCCCGGGACGTCCTGCCACAGGTGAGATAATGGGTGCTCAAAAACAGCCCAGGCTTGGAGAAACACTTTCAGCCCAATTTCGTCTGCTATAATGGTATTTTTCATCTCTCTCTTCAAGGGATTGGCCAGTCCCGGCTCGCCGACGGATGTGGGCAAGGCGGACGGCCAGTGTCTGCGGGATGGTGAGATCGTTGTGTTCGACGACATCGACACCAACTGGATGAACAAGGCATCGAGTGGCCAGCGTCCGGGCAGCAACGAGGATGTCCTCAAGGTGACCAAGATGATTGGCCAGCTGCCAATTGCCGAGTACGAAGGATCTCCGCGACGATTTGGTAGTCAGCCTAACACAAACACGATCACCTTGGGTGGTCCTCGAAAACGTCCGCCGGGATTCCCGCAAAGGGTTTCGCCCACAACGTCCAGTGCCGGCAATAATGCGACTGCCTCGGCCAAAGCATCTGTGGGCAACCTCATCGATCTGATCGATCACGAGGAGGAGCGCTCGGGGGCGCTGCGCGAGAAGACCCCGACTTTCGATTACCTGTATGAGTTCTCGGAGACCCGGAAGGTCCTGGAGGAGTTCTTTAAGGCGAATCCGGAGGACGAGAAGCGATACACGGACTACACCACGGAAAGTGGTGACGATGTGGCCAGTTCGGTAAGTACCTCATACACATCCCTCACCCAAATGGATTGCAAAGTCTGTTTACCATTTTTGTTTGCCAGCAGCAACAGGAGTACCCAGCTACGCCCATGGAGCAGGCATATATCGGCCAGCGGCTGGCGAGAATACCCAAAGAAGAGCTCTACATGGTGCACCGCTCGCCCACTAAGAAGCCAGTGAGTGATTTCAAAATGAAAGCCATTAAACCCACTAACGTATATAACGATTTTAGCCCAGTGACCAGAATCCAGCGACAGTCTACCAGGAGCACAATGACATCGAGCTGTATATTGATTCGAATAGTCGTAGCAGCGGCGACCTGGCAGACACCGAGTTGGAGGCCAATTTGCGAAGGCATTCGCGTAACTTCACCCTGTCGCCGGAGACGACGGACTACGATTCGAATTGCGGCGACCTGGATAGCCTGTCCAACGACATCAACTGCCCCACGGATTATGGCAAACTGTATACGAGCATGCCCGTCTTGGAGGATGGCTTGAGTAGTGGGCATGCCTCCGATACGGAGAACAATGTGTCCGTGGTCTGTGACAAGCAGCAGTCGTCCCAATCGCAGCCCGTCCACGAGCACAACGGCAATGGCGAGCGGCTGGAGAACGACTACAATGTGATGAGTGCCAGCATGGCCACGCTGACCACAGATGCCTCGCAGTCGGCGCTGATAAGCGACTTCTCCTCGCTGCCCATGCCCCCGGCCCCGCCCCCATCGTCGCCGCCCCAAATCGAAATTGCCGATGCCAGTGAATCCATGGCCATGGCCGCAGAGGCCGATAATCCGTTGGACAGTCACTACGGTGCCGTTTATGCAGCGGCCTTGGGAGGTTCTCTACAAGAAAAGTCAGGGGGATCGGGACTGGGAGTGAACTCGGCAACTGCGGGAGGATCACTGCCATCGCAGGCTGCGTCGGAAATCCAGGAGGCCATGAAGGAGATCCGTTCCGCCTTGCAGCGGGCCAAGACGCAGCCAGAAAAGCTGAAGTTCTGCGACGAGGTTCTGCCCACGGATCCGGACTCCCCGGTTTGGGTGCCTCGCAAGGCGACAGCGGTATCGGTGGCTCAAGCTGCGGCAGCGGATGAGGAGCCGGACACTGACCTGGAAACGGATCGCCTCCTTGGTCAGCAGCGGCACGATGAGCAGGACTTTTTCGCTGATCAGGTAGGGAGAACAATCATTGTATAAGCAGTGTGGTGATAACACGTTTTATAAATCTCTTACAGACCCTGGCGGATAGCAATGCCAACGAGGGCACGGAGATCGCCAGCAATGGCCATCTCAATGGAATGGCGGACAACAACAATCCGAATCCAATGCCCAATACCAAGCCGCAGACCTACTCGACGGCCACTATCCGGCAGGGCATTGGCACCTCACTGACACCCAATTCGCCGGACATTTGTCAGATTGTGGGCACGACCGACATCTCCATAAGTTCGCCGGAGAAGCTGCAGTTCAGCAAGAGTCCCACGGGTTCCATCAAATCGCTGAAGGACTCGGCCAACTCGGACAAGAAGGCCAAGTCGCGAAACAAGGAGGGTAAGTGCGCAAAAATTTCAATTATTCCATACAATGGGCAACGCCCCCGGTTGGTCTTTTTCTGATATCGAAACCCATTCGACATTCCACGCTGCAATCTGTACGCATTTAATGCTGATATCATGTAAGTCGCTGTTTCCAAGCGGATGTTTTGCTATTTTTAGTTTGTTGAATACAAATGAAATCTTCTATGAAATCTTGACTAATAGTTGGTCTATTCGCCTTTAGGTCTCTTGGAACCCAAAGTTCTAATCGAAGGCGTGCTGTTCCGGGCCAGATATCTGGGATCGACCCAACTTGTGTGCGAGGGCCAGCCGACCAAGTCCACCAGGATGATGCAGGCCGAGGAGGCCGTCTCCAGGATCAAGGTGAGTGAAGAACCCGGAGAAGCACATAAAAGCACATTCATCCAAGAAACCCCGCTAGGCTATGCTCTCTGCTCTGTGTGTGTCTAAAACTTTCTCGTTCGCTTTTCTCTTTCCCTGCTGCGCATTCCTCTCGATAGGCTTTGGTAAGCGATCGTTGGCCCCTCTATAGTAGACAAAACAAAACCCACTAGGAAGTCATATCCATTAAAAACCATATTTCTTTGCATTTTCTGTCAGGCTCCCGAGGGCGAAAGTCAGCCGAGCACTGAAGTGGACCTGTTCATATCAACCGAGAAGATAATGGTGCTGAACACAGATCTTAAGGAGATCATGATGGACCATGCGTTGCGCACTATATCCTATATAGCGGACATTGGCGATCTGGTTGTGCTGATGGCTCGTCGCAGATTTGTGCCCAACAGTGTGGTGGATCCGGCGAACGCCAGTCCATTGGGAGAGGTGCCCAGTCCGGGAATGGGCGAGGATGAGTCGCCGCCCAAGGAGCCGCTCAGCAAGCATAATCGCACGCCCAAGATGATCTGCCATGTGTTCGAGAGCGATGAGGCGCAGTTCATAGCCCAGTCCATCGGCCAGGCCTTTCAGGTGGCCTACATGGAGTTCCTGAAGGCGAACGGCATCGAGAACGAGAGCCTGGCCAAGGAGATGGACTACCAGGAGGTGCTCAACAGTCAGGAGATTTTCGGCGACGAGCTGGAGATCTTCGCCAAGAAGGAGCTGCAGAAGGAGGTGGTGGTGCCGAAGGCCAAGGGCGAGATCCTGGGCGTTGTGATCGTGGAGAGCGGCTGGGGCTCCATGCTGCCCACCGTAGTGATTGCCAACCTGATGAGCTCCGGAGCAGCTGCCCGCTGCGGCCAGCTGAACATCGGCGACCAGCTGATAGCCATAAACGGCATGAGCCTGGTGGGCCTGCCGCTGTCCACCTGCCAGAGCTACATTCGCAATGCCAAGAACCAAACTGCCGTCAAGTTCACCGTTGTGCCCTGTCCGCCCGTCGTCGAGGTCAAGATCCTGCGACCCAAGGCGCTGTTCCAGTTGGGCTTTAGTGTTCAAAACGGCGTGGTGAGTTGGGCACATCATAAAAAAAACACTTTTTGGTTTATTTCTTATGAACAATATACATTTCTATGCAGATCTGCAGCCTTTTGCGTGGAGGAATCGCCGAGCGGGGCGGAGTACGCGTTGGCCACCGCATCATTGAGATTAACAACCAGAGCGTAGTGGCCGTTCCACACGATACCATCGTCAAGCTGTTGTCATCCTCAGTGGGCGAGGTATAAATTTGTTTCTAAAACTGATAGTGAATAGATTTATAAATATTTTCTTTAAATAGATCCTAATGAAGACGATGCCCACGTCCATGTTTCGTTTGCTCACTGGCCAGGAGACGCCTATCTATATATAAATATATGCAACTGTTCACACGCCTGCGCTGGAATCGAAAAACTATAAATTCGTCAACTGCAACACTATCAGCTTTACGTTCCATCAACTAAAAACGAATCGATAGTGAATTTGATTCGTATATAGACCAATTATTGGAATTTGATTAGCCTTAAGTTGATAAACTGTTCATTGGTCTTGAAATTTGCAAAATGTTCATTTTAGCCAATTTAAGTGATTTGACCATTTGTAAATCGATAAAGCCTTAAATGAGATTAATTGTTCATCAACAAATCGTTCAACTGCCCAGAATCGATATACTGCAATGAAGAATATTATAAAAGTTTCAGAAAAATTTGAATGTTTGGTTATTTTTCCCATCTTTGTATATGAAAAAGACTGAATTTAAAGCCAGTGCGAGTGTATGTGAGCAGTCATTGTAAAGTATTCGAAAAATTGTAAACCCAATGTCCCAAAATTGTACCCAAAATACCAACCTTCCCATTATTCCCTCGCATCCAGTAGCCTAAGCATTCGATTGAATTTACTTGCAAGCAATTATTTATGATATGATCTAATCCATTATTTGTCATGTAAATTAACCGTACTTTAGTTCTTTAACTACATTTATAATTTTCGATAAAGAGAAACAAAAAGAAACACACACCTTATGCCAAAAAAGAGTTAGATTTCGTTAAACTTATTATTGTATAGAGCCATTGCGGATGATTATTGCAATACCATTACCGATATTTATATTTAAAGAAAATAGCCTTAGAAAAACGAAGCCATGCCTGCAAACAAACAAACAAAATAAATGCATTTAAACGCGTCAGATTAAAAAACGAAGCGCATATTGATTATAATTGTATATGTAATGTCTGTACAAGAAATCTGCACATTTCTCGATCGATTATTGCCATATACCTAACGATATATACTCGTACGATACAAATATGATAAATCTAAAATCTAAAGCGAAAACAATAAGCAAAATAGCAAAAGTAATACGAAGAACAATAATTTCAGCATTGTCTAGTTTCTGTTAAGCGAGGGCATAAATGTATAAGAAAGAGACGGAGCCACAAGGAAAGACAGAGACGGCGCCATAGGGAGCGATAGAGACAGATACAGAGAGATAGAGGGAGAGAGCTTATTTTTGCATACTTTAAAAAGCGACAAACAAAAGGCAAATAAACCACAAAAAGCAAATAATTAAAACATATGTTATTAATCTAAAAGGAAGCGACTAAACTAAAAGAATATTTTAAATATTTCAAGTGCAGGTAACAACAAAAGACGCAAGTTAATAATATTTATATAAATATATATATATATATATAAAATACTTCTGATCGCCATTCGGAAGCGCAGGTGCAATATTTTTGCAAAACACAGACACACAGCCACAACAATTAATTAATAAATTTCTAAGCTACTCGGGACACGGCAACAACACTAAGGAACCCACTAAAGAACTCTCTGCTACTGCGCCTCTAACTAACTTCTAAAACCAAACACTAATCGTATACTACCTAATGCAATTTATTTATTAATACTTAACACGTGACCGAATACAAACAGCAGCGAGAAACAAAAATAAACTACATTTATACACAAAAACGTTGACGAGTAGTTTGGAGTTTTGTCCGATTTTGGTTGGGACTACAGCTATAGCTTGTGGAAAAGTAAGTTCTATGTGGTAAGTGAATTCTAAAGACCTAGTTATATGAAAAAAAAAAAACACTTATGGATTGGGAAATTTATATTCTGCCTTTTTATTATATTTTTAAGAACAAAATCTTCTTTAATTTTAATGACTTTGGCAAATTTAAGTAAAGTTCTTGATTATATTTGGTTTTTAAATATTTTTCAATGGCTTTCAGTGGAACTTGCTTTACGAAGCTAAAGTTTTTGCGGGCTTGTTTTCGTTCAGGCCCACGCTTACAATTTTAATTGATTTCAGGGGGTGGGGTGGGGTCAGGGGTCACATTTTCCCAAATGCTGTTGTCCCCGTCGACGCAGTTGCAGTCAAACGAATTTTATTTATCCCGCGACCCATGTGGAATGCAAAAAAGTATCGCCCCATTTCGCCGCTGGCAACTTTTGATTTACGGCGGAGCACTCACAATTTCATGGGGAAACAAAACTCAATTTGTTGGGCTCTGTTTCCGGCTAGGGGCACAAAAAACTGTTGCTCCAATTACGCGGAAATTGCAATAACACACATAAAAAATGTTAAATGGATGGAATGGATTTGCCTGTTATGTACAACGTGCTATTATCATAATACACAATTCAAGCCTTTTTAAACAACCATTTTTGCAATCAGATCCAGTGAGAAAAATACATTTGAAAAATGTGTCGTAAGCATGGTTTTCATTTCATCTAGAGACCATTATTTCTTTCAGTGCACTGCCTTCCATTGCAGATGTGGCCCAGAAAAACGTTCGCTTTACAAATATTATATTTTTTCAACTCCTTTGCGAAAAGGGATTTTAATTATTTGGCCCAAGGGAATGCAGAAGAAAGGCAAAATATTTATATATGATGCACGTAAATATCCATGTTTTTATGTTCATAATCGAATTAAAAGGACATCGGGATTGCGGTTGTAAAGAGGTATATTCATGTTCTGCAATCGAACTCCGATGTGAATAATTATTAATTGAAATGAATTCCCAGAATTCGAAAGGATCATGGGAATTGTCAAAGAATACAACTCCACGGGAAACCCTTTATACAAATAATAATTGGGTATTTCATCTCGCAAGATTCTTATGAAAATATTTTGTACAATTCCATTTTATTTTTTACTTAAAAGGCTTTCCTGTAGGTCCATTTTTTACCACCCATTCATTTAACATACCCTGCTGTTTTCCCCCAAAAAATAATAAAACGTGCAATATTTGCATGGGCAGTGGACAAAAATGCATTCAAATGGCCATGCAGCTGTCATATATCATGCCGCACTGGATGCGGATCCTTTGACCAGCCAGGACTCCAGTGTCCTCGTCCTCGTCCTCGTCCACCCAATCCGCATCCAATTCGCGGTCGACGGTCACTCTTTGTGTGGTTTGCCTTTTGGCTCTTTATTGCCATTGTTGGCTGGAAATTAAGTGACAAGAGGACCGAGGTCCTGTCGCTCGAGCTCTGCATTTTCGCCCTTTTCCCGGTGAGCAAACACATGGGGTACAGTGGGCATTGGCTAAGTGCAATGCGTGCTTTTTATAAAAATGCGTGTCTACTCTAAAAAATTTTGCATTATATTCAAAATAATGATTTACTATATTCTCAGCATATTCTTTCTAATAAACACTAAAAAAATATTGATTAATTTTCTTACAAGCTTATTAATTATTTCAATTATAATACTACAATAACAAAAAATAGATTTCATGTCTTAATTATGTTTGATTTTCATGTTCTGATTTTAAAGACATAAATGGCCATCACCATAATTGTCCATTCTAAACCAGTGACCACTGTGTGTCCCCTCATGCATTATGTGAAGCAGTTGTTCGTTTGGCCATCCATCTGCCACTTAAGTGGAATTTAATATGCGCTTTCCTGTGATTCTGCATCTGTCACGCCCCCTTTTGGGCAGCACAAAGCAACTGCAAACTTAATCAAAATGCGATGCGGTCAAAAGGGCGTTAAAAAGCCAGGTGCCAGCTTTTTTCGCACCTTTTTGAAACCAGGTTTTTAAAGAGGCAAAATCACATAGATGTGCCACAGAAATCGCTCTTAAATGTCATTTTAGGTGCTTCAAAGTATGCAGTTACTTAAGGATGTTCGTCTATATCAATGAGTTCATTGTATTGTTCTGTGTAATCCTCTAATTTTTAATAAGGGGTTACATCTAGTAAAATAACTAGTTTTTTGCCCGAAAAATAGAGATTACATTTTTTGAACAAAACTACCATATTTTTGAGCTGTTTTTCAGTCGTAATTTGGCCAAAACGACGCACACAGCTAAAAGCCCAACTGTTTTGAGCAACTCACAACCAAGGCTAACGATCTGCATCACTTTTCGGAAAATTTATTTTTTTGACAATTTTCGCATTTTTCATAAGGGGTTACATCATCTATTTTTGCGAAAATTCGTCAAAAAATAAAGTTTTCAGGTTTGAACGCCAATCGATTGGATATTTAATTACGAACTCAACGAGATATGGCACTCCTTATTCTGACCCTTTTTCGCATTATGGTGCCAAAAAACTGCATCTTTTTTGTTCAAAAAATGACGATTGGGACTTTGCTCAAAAATATCGTTTTTTGTAGCCGTTTTTTGGTCATAATATAGTCAAATAAAGGCGTACAGAAAAAAGACCAACTGTTCTGAGCAGCTTACAATCTAGGCTCACTATTGCCGTCACTTTTCGAGAAATTTATTTTTTGACCAATTTTCGCATTTTTTATAAGGGGGTACATCATCTATTTTTGCGAAAAATCGTCAAAAAAAAAAGTTTTCAGGTTTGAATGCCAATCGATTGGAAATTTAATTACGAGCTTAGCGAGGTATGGCACTCCTTATTCTGACCCTATTTCGCAAAATGATCGCCAAAATACCTAGATTTTTTGGCCGAAAAAAGTGGTTAATTTTTTTAAACAAAAATTTGATTGGTTTTTTAGTCGTAATTTGGCCCAACCAACGCGCACAGCTAAAAGCCCGACTGTTTTGAGCAGCTAGCAACCAAGGCTAACGATCTGCATCACTTTTCGGAAAATTTATTTTTTTGACAATTTTCGCATTTTTTATAAGGGGTTACATCATCTATTTTTGCGAAAAATCGACAAAAATTAAAGTTTTTAGGTTTGAACGCCAATCGATAGGTAATTTAATTACGAGCTCAATGAGGTATGGCACTCCTTATTCTGACCCTTTTTCGCTTCATGGTGGCCAAAAAACTGCTTCTTTTTTGTGCAAAAAATGACGATTCGGATTTTGCTCAAAAATATCGTTTTTTGTAGCTGTTTTTTGGTCATAATTTAGTCAAACAGAGGCGTACAGAAAAAAGACCAACTGTTCTGAGCAGCTTACAATCTGGGCTAACTACCGCCGTCACTTTTCGGGAAATTTATTTTTTGACCAATTTTTGCATTTTTCATAAGGGGTTACATCATCTATTTTTGCGAAAAATCGTCAAAAATTAAAGTTTTCAGGTTTGAACGCCAATCGATTGGGAATTTAATTACGAGCTCAACGAGGTATGGCACTCCTTATTCTGACCCTTTTTCGCTTCATGGTGGCCAAAAAACTGCTTCTTTTTTGTGCAAAAAATGACGATTCGGATTTTGCTCAAAAATATCGTTTTTTGTAGCCGTTTTTTGGTCATAATTTAGTCAAACAGAGGCGTACAGAAAAAAGACCAACTGTTCTGAGCAGCTTGCAATCTAGGCTCACTATCGGCGTCACTTTTCGGGAAATTTATTTTTTGACCAATTTTTGCATTTTTTATAAGGGGTTACATCATCTATTTTTGCGAAAAATCGTCAAAAATTAAAGTTTTCAGGTTTAAACGACAGTCGATAAGGAATTCAATTACAAGCTCAGCGAGGTATGACACTGCTTATTCTGACCCTATTTCGCAAAACGATCGCCAAAATACCTAGATTTTTTGGCCAAAAATAGTGGTTAATTTTTTTAAACAAAAATTTGATTGGCCCGACTGTTTTGAGCAGCTAGCAACCATTTACCCATTTGGACCATTTTTCCAGAGATTAAATCTGAATAATAACTTACTTGTCACTCTGGCAGTTGGAAATCTGTCCTTATTAAATCAAAATTATTAACATAAAACTTGGACAAGAATAAGCATTGTTATTTCGCATTTCCCTGCGCCATAAAGAAACTATGAATAATTTTATAAATTCGCCCAAGGAGTTCCTCTTCGTGGAAACCTTGCAAATTCAGCTCCCAAACTTTTGTCTGTTGGCAAAGGGAAAAGTTTGGCCGCACATGTCGCGGTGATGGAAGGGCAGGGGGAGGGGGGTTGGACTTTTAGGGGTTAGACCTGAACCTGAGTTAAAGTTGAATATTTGAACTTGCATATTATGTGTTAAATAAGTTGTCTTTCGCGCCGTGTCGCACGTGGCGTATACTTCATATTTCCCAACTGAATCGCAGTCGCTGTCGCTCCGCTTGTCAGTGTTTTGTTGTATTTTGTGTTGCTGGTGGGTGTTAAAAACAGGGGGGGGGGGGTGGTTATTTGGCATGACCTTGCGTTGCTTGCCCCCACCAAGGTTGATGCGAGGTTTTTGCCACTCGAAACGCTGCCAAAACGAAACAAAACAAAACAATTAATGCAACTGGGTGGCTTTCGTGCCTCATTTGCATGCAATCGGGGCAGCTGCATCGCGTTTTCCCCCGGAA